TCTCTCATTGATGTTTCTAACTCTCTATCTCTTTCCCTTCCTCTCTGTACAAAATCAATAAAATATATATTAAAAAAAAAATCATCCACTTAAAGTGTACAGTTTGGTGTCTTTTAGTTCATTCACCAATTATACGATTGTCACCACTATCCAATTCAAGAATATTTTCATCACCTTAAAAAGAAATCCTGTACCCATTAGCAATCACTCCCTATAACTCCTGGCAACCAACAAGCTACTTTCTTAAGTTCCTGGAGAAAAAGTAATATCTATTTGCTTTTCAAGCAAACACACACAGAACCTTCTAAATATTCAGCATAGTGACATAATGAGTAAGATTTGAATTTCCTAGAGAACAAGTAATACCGTGTTTCCCCGAAAATAAAACATCCTCCGAAAATAAGACCTACTTACAGGTTTCCTTCTCAGTGAAATATAAGGCATCCCCCCGAAAATAAAGCCCCCACCCAAGGCTCTGTCTCAGAATGAAAATTAATTTACCGTAAACTGGTCGTTAGAGTCGCCCCAACTGGCGTCTTGCAACCAGTGATGTTATGCGGAGTCCTGACGTCACTGCTGTGTGGAATCGGAGTGAGCGGTGAGCGAGGGGAGAGAGAGGAGGAGACTTTTGCAGATGCGTATAGAAGAACAGGAGGATTAGAGCAGACAGATGCTGGTCTGTCTCTGGTAACACTACCTGATGCTCGCAGCTGCCCTCAAGATGATTGAAGGTTCTTAAGTCAATGGCAGACCCTGCTCCAGCCCAGATCTAGGCCTCAGCAAGCCCAGTGACAGTCCCCATGCAGGCCCCAGGGAGTAAATGTCTGATAAAGGGGTAGGGGGGATATCTGGGGAAGGTGTTCAGTGGCACAGGGGTGGTGGGAGGAGGATCACTTAAAATGACACAGGAGGATCAGAGGGGGCAATCAAAATGATACAGGAGGATCAAAAGGGTTTACTAAAATGGTAATCACCCCTCTGATTCTCCTGTGCCATTTTGATTCTCTCCTCTGATCCCCCGTGTCATTTTAAGTGACTCCCCTCTCCTCACCTTGATACCCCAATTTCTTTTTTTTACCCCTAGAAATGAGTGCAAAAAGAAAAAACTACTCCGTGGAATACAAGAAAGGAATCATGGAAGACTCTTGGGATCAAAATCTTACTGCTTTCTGCAAAGATAAGATGTTGAGTACCCGACTGGTCCAAAAATGGCAAGCAGAGTATGGTAACCTCATTGAACAAGTGGACAAGGGAAATGCTAAAAAGCGCAAGTGTGGATCAGGTCGGCAACCATTATTTTCCGAGCTGGAAGACCTGATCTGTGAATGGGTTGTTGACAGGAGAGCAAAGGCTTTGGTTGTGAATAGGGCTCAGATTGAAGAATTTGCCCTTGCAATGGCACCACAGTTTGACATAGCCCCCGAAGACTTCAAAGCATCACAACACTGGCTGGATAATTTCCTTCAGCGAAGTGAACTGTCTTTAAGAAGATCTACCGGTACAACATTGTTTAGGTTGGAAGATACTCAAGTTATTAAGCGAGCACTTGCATTCAAGTCCTTTATTGATGATGCTGACTTCTCTAAATACAGTCTTTCCAACATGATTGCTATGGATGAAACTGTAGTGTTTATGGGCCAATCATCTCAAACAACAATTGAACAGCGGGGTGCCTCCTTAGTGTACATTCCCTCCACTGCTTACGAAAGTGCATGTGTTTCCTGTATTTTGGCAATTCCTCTGGATGGCACTAAAATACCACCTTTAATCATTTCTAAGGGCAAGAAGGAAAAGATTGAACATGTTTTGGGCATTTTTATTCTTGAAACTGAAAAAGCCTGGGCCACACAAGCAGTTATAAGGAAGTGGGTCGATTTAATGCTGCTGCTTGTTATGCGGGGGAGCCAAAGAAGTCTGCTAGTCTGGGATGCAGCCAGCACTCACCGCGCTGAAGACATGAAGACATTTCTTCAAGAAAGAAAAATAGATCAGATAATGATTCCTGCAGGAATGATGGCCTATCTCCAGACTCTTGATATTGCAATAAACAAGCCATTCAAAGACAATTTGCGCATGGAAATTAACGACTACATCGAAAACAGAATGGAGATAAATCAGCATGGAAACTTTGTGAAACCTAAACTACAAGAAGCTGTGACTTGGTGAAGAATTCATGGGAGAAAATCACAGTTGCATTGCAAATGCACTGCGAGCAGGCTACCTTGACAAGAAGTACTCATTTAAAGACAGTGCTATTGCTAAACATGAGAGATTTGGTCCTCTGATTCTGAAAGAAATGTTGTCACAAGAAATTCACCAGGAAATTCAGGAATTGGATTGTTATGATGATGTTCCAGAAGATGATGACATGATTGTCATTGAATAAATGAGTAAATTCTTGATACTGTAGGATTCACAGTTTGTCTGGTTTGTGTTGACAACTACCGTACTACCGTACCATATACAAGTAATAAATTTCCTTTATTTTCATTTAACAATAAATATGTACCGTATTCTTCTTCATGGAAAAATAAGACATCCCCTGAAAATAAGACATAGAGCATCTTTGGGAGCAAAAATTATTATAAGACACTGTCTTATTTTCGGAGAAACAGGGTATCTATTTGCTTTTCAAGCAAACATGCACGGAACCTTCTAAATATTAAGTGTAGTGACATAATGAGTAGCTGACCTCCCTGCATTCATTTTCTCCACCTGTAAACAAGCTATATTGTCAAGCACTAGCAGTTCCCATAAGGATAACTCATCTTTAAATACTATGCACATGTAATTATTCTACAATGTAAGTTGGGGGGACAATATAACATTCCTGAAGCGACAACACAGGAAGTGTAGTTTTATTAAGCCTCCTTTGTTGCCCCAGGCTGAGGAGTTTCCTACAATCACTGCTAATTCTCTGCATATTACTGGGAATCTTCACTTCATTAAGCAGAGTTCTTTTCCCAAAAGTCAAACCCAGGATTTGCCACCTATTTGCTTCTCAGTGGGAATAACAGAGATGAAACCAAAAATTCAAATTATTTCCTTAAATCCCTGTTTAAAATTCAATAGGGATAGCCCTGGATTAATCCTTCAAAATCTAAAATTTGATTCCTGGGTGGATTTTGTATCACACTATTTAATGTCACCACCTTTCCTAAGATATACTTACATTTTTAAAATAATATCTCCAATATTATAAAGTCTTTAGAGATAGAATGCCCATTAAATTATTAAAGTATTCCAACTTTTTTGTTGTTGTTGTTAATCCTCACCCAAGGATATGCATTTGTTGACTTCAGAGCAAGGAAGGTAGAGGGAGGGAGAGAGAGAAACTTCACATGTACCCTGACTAGGGATCAAACCTGCAAACCTGGGTATGTACCCCGACTGAGAATCAAACCCATGACTGAATTTTCAATGTACAGGACAACACTCCAACCAACTGAGCCACACTGACCAAGGCAAAGTATTCCAACTTCTTACTGTATTAAGAACTGAGTCAGTTTCTGATGGTTTTGATCCCAAATTTGCTTCTTTATAGCCTGACAATATTGTATTGACCTAAGCTCTGGAAGACAAAGCACTACTCAATTACTATTGCTCCCTTCCAAAAAAAATTCAAGACTCTTAAGTTCAAAAAATGGCCCACACTAGGGTATGATGGTTTCCCCAGACTCAAACTATTTGGGCAGGAAGGAGTTTTGGAAATCTACTCTAACCTATTATTTTACAAATAGAAAATGGGATGAACAAGAGCTAAATGACTTGCCCAAATTCACAAAGTAGGTAAAACCAGCATACTTAGAATATGGGCACTCCGACTCCAGCTGAAACTCATTTCATCATACCATCTACCAAAAATGTGTACGTATAGACAGTATTGAAATCTCAATGCCTCCTGAGAGGAAAGAACAAAAACTACAGTTTTCTGCTTACAAATAAGAGGGTGAGAGGTTGAGGAATCACATCTTATTTCATGGAAGTAAATGTTTTCTTAAATATCCTTCCAATTGTTATAACGGGCTTGCCCTGTAGGCTAAATAAAATGAAACCAAATACCAGATCTCTTCAATCAGGTTTTTCACCATAATAAACTTTTGGTAGCTATTGACTTTGTGTGCCCAAAGCTATCCCCATGTCCCCTTTCCTAACCTGCCTAATCACTGGCAATAGCGACTGGTCTAAGCAAGGCCAACCAGAATCCTTTCCTAGAGCTGTGACACAGATGCTGTGAAAATAACCCCCCTCTCTGTTTCCTACCATTTGGAGAAGGCAGTGTGCAGTAGGAGAGTCTAAGATCAACATTTAACAAGAAATAGAGATACGCAGAGAGAGAGAGAAGGGAAGAATGTGGCAATATCAAATCCTTGGTTCTCACTGCTGAGCTGATTCCTTTGATTTTTGTAAGTTTAACCTGTATCTTTATCAACCACAGAAACTGATAAATTCCTTTTTTGCTTAAAATACTTTGAATTGTGTTTCTGTCACTTGCAGCTCTAAAATCCTATACTGACCTCACGTGACAGGATTGGATATACATTACCTTTAATACAAGAAAAATAAGCATTTGTTAAATTTTTTTTTACAGTGGATGACTTTAAACGGGTTCTACTGTTTCTTACATCTACCACTCCCAACATTCTATACCCAACAATTTCCTGCTTCCATTATATGCCTGCTCCTGAAAGTATCCTGAGTTTGCTAACACTTCCCTAAGATGTCCCTAGAGGATTAAAAAAAACACACTAGTATAAGCTTGTTTTATTTGTCTTCCAACAGAAGTAGAATGTAAAATAGATTCCAGGTAATACAAGTTAAATGAGATTGTACTTTATCTAGACTTCCTAGATTTCACTCCTAGATTCTAGAGCATGGTCTAGAAATCACTATTTATAATACACTCTAAGGCAAGTCTTCAAAATTTAAAGCAAATCCAACAGATATGGCTACTGTAATAGAAATCAACAGCAACAGCAACAACAAATCTCAGGACCTACCTCCAATAAGGCTCCAGTTTGGAAGAATTTCAAAGGCTTTTCAATGGCATAATAAAGGCTATGATAGCTACCCTTAGCCAGGTATGCTCTCACCAGACCAACTGCTATAACAAGCCATCTAAGAAAAAGAGAAAAAAGAGCAATCAGAAAAAAATAAATAAAGATAATTAGGATCTAAGGCAATAGGAAGATGTGGTAACAACAGATGTTGGTAGAGGTGACTTCAAGAATCAGTGTCCTGGGTTTATCAACTATACTTCTCAAATGCCAATTGTGTGTTTTATCAACTATAACTCTTAAACGCCAACGGAAATGTTGCACCATACCAAGAGTGCTCAGCAAAAGCACAGTGGCACCTCACCCATTTGGAGCTCAGCTCTTTTGCAACCTTGCCTGTTGAGAACAAGGCCAAAATAAAGGGAATAAGCTAAACTAGTCCCTGAGCAGTTAATGTAAGTGCCAAAGAGTAAGACAAGAGGGGAAAAAAATGTTAAAGGAAAAATTTAAATGGATTGTGTAGTAATAATGGGTGGGCAGAAGGTGTTTTAAGTCATTTTTATAAGTATCTAACTGGAACATACCCATATCTTAAAATCTATCCTTTTTAAATTGCAAATGAAATAAGAATATGTTAATTTTTTAAAGACTAAAAGCGTGTTTTGTTTTTTTTAGTTTGAATTTCCCAAAATCAATTCATTGAAGAAATCCAAATCAATACCAAAAGCAAAACAGGAAAGCACTTAGATGTATGTAACTTTAAATGTTACATTTCTGTTCTGCTATCCTTTTCAAAAAAATAAATTTCTCAGGCCCAGAAATTTCTTTTCATTTAAGTTCCATAATAAAATGAAAAGACCTTTGTTAAGGTACGTGTCCTTGAAGGCAGTAATAGATTTACCTTTATATATAAAATCTCAACCATGTGTTGCAGTATTATATGTTATTTCTACAAAATGTCATACAAAGACATCAAATAGTCTGTAAAAGAAAAGAAATGAACTCCTTAATGGTGTCATGCTGTACCTAATGAAAAAAGCTTACTGTACTCTCACAGTTTTAATTTCTCTTCCTAGATATCATTCCTTACGCCCCCACCCCCTTCTCTACATTCACTGCCCAGGAGTAATGACTTAATTTCTTCTTTCCCAATGTACCTGAAAATCCCTCTCCAGGTCCAATGTTCTCATCAATGTCCTAGGCTAAGGCAAGAATTTTACATATGAATATAAATACACACAAAGTTCTGAATAGTCTTAAAATCACTGTAATCATTTATGTGACAAACAAACAAACAACCACAAACTTGCATCTGTAATATTTCTTCATTGGCCTGTGCATTCTAGATCCAGATCTAACACAAACTAGTTCTGTGACCTCAAGCAAGTCAAGCAAGTCACAACTTCTCTGAGCCCCGGTTGCAACACTGACCATTTCTATTATTTGCAATAAAGCCCATGATCTTCCCAAGATGTTAATATGACATTAGCATTTGTGTTTAAAAACGGGCGTGGGGAAGAGGAGGAAATACAGGTACATTTTTATATATATCAGTATGTGAAAGATACACAGAGTAAGCTGCTCCCGGGGGAGGGGGTGTGGATGGAAGGGAAGGCTGAGAGGGAAGATTTTTCACTGTATGCCCTGTATATAGGGTATCCAAAAATGTATGCGCACACTTTAAATAATTATAAAAGCAGTGTTTATTAAAACTCATTTCATTTTCAAACTTGAGCTATCTATCAGCTGTTGATGTGCATACTTTATTTGGGACACTGTATAATTTAAATTTTGCACCCGCCATTGCAAAGATAAATAAAAATGGATGTCCACTATACAGTTCTTTCAAGTTTCCTGTATGTTTGAAAATTCCAACATAAAAAGAAAACATTAAGGAAAATGTTTTACAGATGAATCAAATGTAAAAATAGGTAACCAATAGTCTGATCCTGTGATCCATCTCACCCAAAATCTTGAGATCAAAGACTTGGAGGAACCTGGGAGAGCCCAACTCTTCGTTTTGCAGGTGGAAAACACACACACACACACACACACACACACACACACACACACACACACACAAAACGGAGGCCAAGAGAAAGAAAGTAATTTATCCAAGGTTGCACAACTAGTTAAGTGTCAGAACTAGAACCAAACCATAGCCGTGACGGGAATGGACCTTCAGGAGGGAGAAAGGAGAGGAAGTACACCGTTGGGTGGGTCTATTCCCCTCCTCCCCAGCAGCAGCTCTGCCTTCCACCCTCAGCGCCTTCCCCACCCCACGCCACACACCGAAGTCCAAACTCGTCTAAAGCACCGCTCTGCTCCCGTCCCTGGTCCAAAAAACTTGGAAAGCTCTCCCCTCCTTCCAGATCACCCAGGGCTCAGCCAGGATTTTGAAAACAGCCGCCTAAGGATATACCGTCTCTCTGCAGCCAGAGCTGTCTCCACGCCTTCAGGGGAAGCAGCTCGCCATCCGCGCCCGGCCGCCTGGGCTGGGCTCTCCGCGCCGCAGGGTCGCCCCGCACACCGCCCCCCGCGCCTGGAGGTGACCGGCCCACCCGGCCTCCGAGGCCCTCGGACCTGCGCCTGGGCAGCCTGCCCCGCGCCTCGTGGGGGCCCCCGAACTCCAGCTCGGGGCGCACCCGCTGCCTGGGCACTCGCTGGGCCCCGCCCAGGCAGGAGGGAGTCAGGGCAGCGCCGGGCCGTTCGGCGCTCGGCAGTCCGCGGCGCCCAGGCGCCGGGTCCCGGGCCGCCAGGCTGCGCTGTGCCCGGTGGGCCCGGCCCGGCCGCTCCCCCGCGCCCGCCCGCCGCAGAGCCCCTCGCCAGCCGCCCCGAGCCCCAGCCTCACCCCGCCGTCATCACCACATTGTAGATGACCAGGTACGCCGTGGCCAGAGGCCCCGGGCCCCTTCTCTTCCGCGCGCCGCTGGCCTCGCCGGCCCCGGCCCCGGCCCGGGCCCCGCCGCCGCCGCCGCCCCCGTTCCCCTTGGTCGCCGCCGCAGTCGCCGCCGCTGCCGCCATGTCAAGTGCCCAGAGCTAGCTCTCAGCGAGAGCAGCGCGCCCGCCCGGACTCAGCCCCGGGAGGAGGCGGTGGGAGGGGCGGGGGGCGGGGCGGAGGCCGCGGGGCGGGGCTGGGGACCGCGCCCACAGGGCCGCCATCTTGGAAAAGGGCAAAGACGCTCCGGCATTCCCTGCCCACCGGTTCGCCTCCGTAGCTGCCGCCATCTTGGATCAGGGCAAGCTCAGCCTCTTTCTCGCGCCGCCGCTAGCCTGCGGCGCCATCTTGGGTTCGGGCCCCATTGCCTGAGGCCGCCCTGGTCAGTGCTCGCTGCTTCTGCCATCGGGATGCTTTGTCTTCTCTGCCTAGTCTCTCCTTTGTAGCTTCCGCCTACTACATGTTGGATCAAGAAAAGGATGCTTTCGGTCCGTCTTCTTATCCTGACTTCTCCCAACGACCCCATCTTCACTGCTATGTGGCGGTGGAGGAGCCCGCCATTTAGGGTCAGGAGGCTGGCCCGAAACAGCACTCTGCCAGGTGCTCTCTGCCCCTGGAGCGGTAGCCATGTTGAAGGGTCCTGGGTTCGATTCTGGTCAAGGGCATGTACATTGGTTGCAGGCACATCCCCTTTAGGGGATTTGCAGGAGGCAGCTGATCGATGTTTCTCTCATCTCATCAATGTTTCTGGCTCTCTGTCCCTCTCTCTTCTCTCTGTAAAAAAAAAAAAAAAATCTATAAAATATATTAAAAAGAAAGAAAGAAGAAAGCGAAAGAAAGAAAAGAAAAGGCTGGTGCAAATGGCATCAACCAGTTGACCCCAATTTCCACTCACCGCTTTGTCTCAGGGTTTTAAACATTTGTCACAGTCCCCTGCCATCCATTGTCACACACCCAACCATCTCTTTAAACGGATGGATGCATATGTGGTGATATAAAATATTTATTTCAGCAAGTACTTTACGGAGTGTCTGCAAGATTGCACTGGGGTTTGTGGCACTAAATGAAAAAGGCAAGTCCTGGGTCTCGCTGTGATGATGCAGAGGGAGCTCAATGAATGTTTTAGGTGTGAAAAGCGATACCAGGAAGTGACTGCCGTAATCCACGCCATGGTGGTAGTGATTGAGACGATAAAAACAGAACTGAATTCTGGACATTTTTTAGAAGTAAGAGATGATAAGATCTCTGAATACATTAGCTGTGGAGTGTGACAAAGAGACATTGTGAACAACTTGGAAGAACTGAGTTGTAGAAAAAACGGTTTTAAAGAAAGAAATCTGGATTTTTTTTATTAAGAAAATTTGCTTTTATTTTTTTTAAATTTATTGATTATTGTATCATATAATTGTCCTTATCCCCCCCCCCATTCCCATCCCAAACCCCTCCCTAGATATGCCCCCACCCCTCTGATGTCCGCATGGATACAAGTCCTTTGTTTGATCTCTCCCCTTTTCCCCCTTCCTCCCCTACCTTCCCTCTGAGGTTTGACAGTCTGATCGATGCTTCCCTGTCTCTGGGTCTGTTTTTGTTCATCAGTTTATGTTGTCCATTGTTTCCCCTAGATGTGTGAGATCATGTGATACAAGAAATACACTTACAAGAACCAAAAATGAGACAAGCCATAATGGTTATGCTGAGAGGCAAGTGAATCAGTCTGTACTGAATTTCTTTCTGGGCCAACAGTTCTTTTGAGTCCTGATTTCAATGTCAAATAGTTCCTTATGTGTACATGTCAATGATATTTCAGTTCTGGATGGTGGACAAGAAATCAGGATTTTTGTTTTACATATTAAGTTTGAAATCTTTATTAGACATCAAAGGGGAGAAGTTGCATGGACAATTAGGTAGATTTAGACATTGAGGTTCAAGGGAGAAGAGATGGAGATTTGAGGCTCACCAGGGGATGGTGGTATTTAGAGCCACAAGACATCTAGAGAATGAGACACTAAACAATTGTGAGGGTCTCATCCACTAAGGCCCTACAGGTTGTGTAGAGACCCTGTTGCCTTATTTTCCTGACTTTTTTTTTTTTTTTTATGATGTTAATCCTCACCCAAGGATATTTTCCAACAATTTTTATTTATTTATTTATTTATTTATTTATTTATTTATTTATTTATTTAAATTTAATTTTCTTTCTTTTTTTTTTTTTTTTTAGAGAAAGTGATAGGGAGGGGGAGAAACAGAGAGAGAGAAACATCTTTGTGAAAGAGATACATTGATTCTGTCAATTGGTTGCCTCCTTCACTAAATTGAAACCACAGACTCTACAGGCCAGCACTCAGTCCACTGAGCCAAACAGGCTAGGGCCTTCCCAACTTCTTTAAAGAGCAAGTGGGGAAAAAACACACCAAGATGGCAGCATAACGTAAACACCTGTATGTGCTGCCTCCCACAACCACACCAAAACTACAACTAAAAGACAAAACAACTATCACCCAGAACCAGAGGAAAGCTGGCTGAGTAGAAGTTCTCTACAACTAGAAGGAAAGAAAAAAAGCACATTGAGACCAGATAGGAGGTTCAGAGGCACAGAAAAGCAGAGGAACGGAGGCATGTGAGTCGGGATGGTGACTGGGTGCACTATTTTTTCCAATTGGAAGGAAGATACAAGCTCCCAACTGCTCTGAACTCCAGTTTCAGTGAGACTCTAAGAACCCAGAGTTTTAAGAGGAGAAACTGGACTGTCTGGCATTGGGTCGGAAAGTGAGGGTGGCTTTCTCCCAGAGGTGTTCGTTGGAATTAATGTTTACTGCGCTGGTACACCTGACATGGAAACGCTGAGACACAGAGACAGCTGACTGGCAGCCATCGCTGTTTGCCACGCCCTGGTGATTCTCTGAGACCCCACCCCACCCAATTTACAAACCCGCCCAAACTGTGCGCAGCAGCTTTTGCATATGAACAGCCTGCCCTTTTGCAGCTTAACCTAACAAACTGCAACTGGGTCAGACAGCTCCAAAACTTCCAAACCCCACGCAAAGAGGAGAAATCTGCAGATCTCACTATAGCTCCTGCTGGGTGGCCTCAGGCAGTAGCTAACTTGTGCCCAACTGGAGATCCAGGAGCCAGTGTACCTAGTGGTCAGTGTGAGACAATACCAGATTTTAACTCCTCACATACAAAAGTGACACACTCAAGAGGCAGACTCAGTGAGCATCAAAGCCCTACTGAAGCAAGTCCCGCTCCATAAGAGCATCTCCTGCACAGCAGTTCTTTCATTATAGACACAGCTGATCCTCACAGCCAATGGCCTAGAGGTCAGTTCCTCCCAGTGTACCAACAGCAATTGAGGCTTAAATACAATAAGACTGTGCACCCAGCCTACAAAGGAGTGCACCAAGAGTATCCACCTCAGGTGATTGGGGAGGCTGAGCCACTGGGCCCTATAGGTCACCTACCACACAAAGCCACACCATCAACACAAGGAAGGAGCCAAAATGCAGAGATAAAGAAACATGTCATGAATGGAAGAAATGGAGGAAAGCAAATTACTGGATTTAGAGTTCAAAACCATAATTATAAGGTTACTCAAGAATCTTCTAGAAACTGCCGAGAAACTTAGTGAGACCTCCAAGGAACTTAGTGAGACCTTCAAGGATCTTAATGAGAATGCCAAAAAATGGAAAAGGACCAGTCAGAAATTAAGCATACACTGTCTGAAATAAAGAATATACAGAAATCCAACAGTAGACTAGAGGACCCCAAGAATCAAACCAAAGAATTGAAATATGAGGAAGCAAAAAACACCCAACCAGAAAAACAAAAAGAATTCAAAAATATGAAGATATAATAGTATTAGGAGCCTCTGAGACAACTTCAAGCATACCAACATCAGAATTATGGGGGTGCCAGAAAGAGAGAGAGAGCAAAATATTGAAAACCTATTAGAAGAAATAATAACAGAAAACTTTCCCTACCAAGACACATACTATTAAAATGCCAACTGCAAAAGACAGAGAATCTTGAAAGCAGCAAGAAAAAAAACAGTTACCTACAAAGGGAGTACTCATACAACTGTCAGCTGATTTCTCAACAGAAACCATGCAGGCCAGAAGGGAATGGCAAGAAATATTCAAATGCCGAAACTGGTTTGGCTCGGCGGTAGAACATCGGTCTGCGAACTGAAAGGTCCCAGGTTCGATTCCATGTAAGGGCATGTACATTGGTTGTGGGCACATCCCTGGTAGGAGGTGTGCAAGAGGCAGCTGATCGATGATTCTCTCATTGATGTTTCTAGCTCTCTATCTCTCTCCCTTCCTCTCTGTAAGAAAATCAATAAAATATATTAAAAAAAAATTTCAAGTAATGAAGAGCAAGAACTTACAACCAAGATTACTCTACTCAGCAAAACTATCATTCAGAATTGAAGGTCAGATAAAGAGCTTCAGAGACAAGGAAAAGCTACAGGAGTTCATCACCACCAAACCAGGATTATATGAAATACTGAAGGGTAGTAAGAAGAGGAGAAAGAAGAAAAAGGTAAAGATAAAAATTATGAACAACAAAGTCACAACAAATACATACCTATCAACAAGGGAATCTAAAAATTAAGTCAATTAAAAAATCTGATGCACAGAATAAACTGGTGAATATAATAGAATCAGCTGCATAGAAAGGGAGTGGACTGACAATTCTCGGGGGAAAAGGGGTGTGAGGGATGCGGGAAGAGATTGGACAAAAATCTTACACCTAATGAATGAGGACAATGGCAGGGGGTAAGGGGATAGGGTGTGGGGAGGGAATCGTGGAAGGGGAGCTATGGGGGGGGGGAAGAGGAACATCTATAATAATCTGAACAATGAAAATTTATTTTTAAAAAGAGCAAATGAAGGTACTCAAATTGCAGGCAGTGATCAGTGGGAGGTGGAAATTGCAAAGGAAATAAAGAAGTGGTCATTTTGCAGAGCAAATAATCATTTATCTAAAAGCTTCTTTGATTCATTTAACTGAATCATTTTTCCTTTCAATATAAACTGAAAAAGGAGGTAAATTCTGTCAGTTGGAAATCAACTTAAAATTCAGT